TGTTTTCGTCTATGATAATGAGGCAAGATTAGTCAGGACTCCAGGTTTGTTTAACAAAATAAAATTGAACAATTTTATTTTTTTGGGCTGGTTGAATAGAAACATATTCCATATTTTATTTGCATTTATTTCTTTTCAGAATATAGAAATCGTCAAATTTTTTCGATTATTTTTTAACAAATCATATATGTTATAGTATATACCTTCTATAATAAAATAATAATTCTAACTAACCTCAGCACATTAATACAAGAGATATATATACCATTCAAGATGATTTTAAAAAAGTAACGATTTAAATAAACAGTTACTTTTTCGGTATATTATATTTTTAATTTTTTTTTATTAATTAATATGAGATTATTCAGATTCACAACAAATTTTTTGTGAAAATATAAGCTCTATTCAAATCTAAAATAAATTTTAATAATTATTTTATATATAAATAACCCCCCCTAAAAAGAATATAATAATCTATAAAGATTATGGGAATCATAATCTTTGAAACTTCATTTTAGAATCCGTTACTTAAGACTCAGGCTTGGTTCTCTTTATCGACTGGTAAAAAATTAATTGATAAATTAGAAAGTAACTATTCGGGCGTTACATATTGAGGTACTCGGATACTCAGTGATTCTGTGAATTTCGTTCTAGCATGATTCATATCACGATTATTTCTTAATTTTGCCAATAATCTATTCTTTTAAGTATTCGTGAAATGTGTTTAAGCACAAAAAAATTAAAATGGCGCATAATTTTCAATAATCAACGATATAAATTTTAGAATGTTCCAGATGATTTAACCAATGACATATAATGATACCTAGACTGACGGTGAATTCGTTAAAAAAAATGTACCTCGATGCAAATCAGCTGGGGACTCCATTTTGGTTACCCATATCATTATTAAAAATTTTAAATGAGAGGCCAATTTATTCCTATGTCTGACACAATGAGATATGTTATTGGATTTAACGTGTAAAAGTCGTAATATCAAAGTTTCTATCTGTCTTATATTTACCCTTTTTTTTGTGGTTGGAATACATGATAATTGGAACAGATTTCTTCCATTTTTTTCCACCATAAAAATAAAAATTAATATTTACGTTTTTATTTCGATCTCTTTTTACGAATTTTTATAAATATAAATATATGATATTTTAATTCATTTTGAAATTTAAAGTAAAATAAATTAAAACATATCTTATATATATATATATACATATATATATATATATATATATAAGAAAACACAAATTTAAATAATGAATAATTTAAACATTTAAAAATAAAAACATAATATCAATCACATTACCATTCCACCCTCCTAGGAAACCCTTCATACTGTTCCTCGTTATGTTGTCAAGTAGAGCTTGTTGATTGCATAAGTTCTTGATATAAATATAATAGTAAATAATTTTGCATCAATATCGCAAAAAATATTTTGTCAAATTTATAAAAACATCCTTTTAACAATACTGTATCCAGGGTAGGGCAGTATGGTGAATACTTGTATCTAAGATATAAGATCCTTGTGTATCTTGTACTCAGTATCTTTTTGAACATAATAAGATTCTAGTATCTGTATCTAAAATCTTTTATTTTGAAAAAAAATCTTGTATCTTTTTCTTGACAAAAGATAAAGATACAGATTTTTTTTAATATTCATGTTTAAAGTTTTACATATCACAGTTTATATCTTATTTTCTTCTAGAATCTTGTATTAATTTCCTCATTCTTTTCCGCTATATTTTAAATGACAACCAAAATTAGCTGGAAAATTTACGACTCATATTAAGGAAGATAAATAAAAAATAACAACACCAAGTAGAAATAATTATATTTTATATATAAATGTAACTCGATAATATATTTTTTAATCTGTAGGATAATTGACACTCATGGCAGTGAAGAAGAAGGTAGTGAAATTTAAATTATAGAAATAAGTTCACCTGGATCAAAACCCAATCTTAAAATTTTATATGGAAACTTTTTTTTTTAAATAAAACTTAAAAATGACAATGTACAGGATAGATGTAAAACCTGCATAAACAAAAAAAAAATGATAAATGGTTATTAAACACAATTATTTTATTTTTTTAAACATGTTAAAATATATTATTTATATGTGGTTAAAAATGGGCGTAGGTTATTTTTAAAATTCAACAATATTGTCTACCTTTATTAAAAGCTGTCCAACATGGTATAGGCCAATGACATATAATAATACCTAGACTGACAATTCATTCATTAAAATGCATTTTTAAGCGTCGTTAAAAGCAAATCAGCTGGACCCGCCATTTTGGTAACCTTTATAATAATTATTTTCATGTTAAAAACTAATATTAAATTGATAACTTACTTTCTTATTATCTCGATGATCAGGCAATTCTTTAATAAAGTTTGCATCAGGTATAATATAAAATTAGGCTCTCGTTTAAAATTTTAATATTTATTACAGTAACCAAGATGGCGTCTCTAGCTGATTTGTATTGATGTACACTTTTAATGAATGAATCGTCAGTCTAGGTATTATTATATGTCATTGGTATAGGCAAAAGATTTTACATCCATATTTTAAGAACTTATGGAGTAGAAATGGTCGCGGGCCTAATTTTTTATTCACGACCCTCACACTCACGGTGGCGATAAAAAATATTCACGCCCATTCACGCTGACCACTAAAAAATTTCCGACCCGACCCGCCCGCTCACGAAAGGCGATATTTTGATTCACACCTGTCACGCCCGAAAATTCACGGTGTTTTTAAATTTTTTTAAAACTTCAATGTTATAATTTTTTACATTTTTTTTTGAATTTATTCTATTTATTTCTTTAATTCCATAATCCATAATTACGAAAAATAAATACGTATTATAGATCTAAATTTTTTCTTAGAAAAAAGAAGAATGTCTATTTTTTTTTTCATTTCAATTGTGTAAGCCTTTCCTCTAATAGACGATTGGCAACAGAAAATAACCTTTCACTAGAAACCGAATTTGCCAGGGCTGACAAAATTTTATTCTCCAATTTTCTCAAAATAAGAAATAAATTTTCCTTCTTCTAAAACTTCAAAATATTGCCATTGTTATTTGTTTTTAATCTTTTAAATTCACATAGCTATCATCGGTAGATGTTGATGCTTCATCAGAAGCATCTAAAAATATGTTTCATTTAGAGTATAAGGTTTTTATGAATTTAGGATGAATTAGGAAAGTTATTAATAACAGTTGGCATTGACTTATGCATATAAATCATCTAATTTTATATCATTTCACATTTTCAAGATTGTTTTGTAAATATCTTCCTTTCTTCATCTATTAATAACTTAGGGCTTTTGAAATTAGGATCTAGTATTATTGAGAATAAATTTTAAAGTTTAAGTAAAAAATCTCGACCTAATCATAAAAAGAAAAGAAAAGAACTAGAAGCGTGACACCAGATGTTGTTTATAAAATGCCGAATATTTTTTGTTGTCAAAATTTTTTCTTTTTTAAAAAAGAACTAAAATTAAATTAGAAAATATGTATTATAATTATAAAATTGCGAATTTATATTTATAAAAAAAAAACTAAAAAATCAAAATTTCCGTGATTCACGGGAAATATATGTTCACGCCCGGGAAAAATTTTGGGAAGGCCCGTCACGCCCAGTCACGCCTAATAATTTAAAGTTTATTCACACTCATGCCGTGACCCACCGTGACACGAAGGGTCACGCGTAATTTCACGGCCCGCGCCCCGCCCATCTCTATTATGGATGAGTTGGATAATATAAAAAAAATACTTTCAAAATATACTAATTACGCTGAAAAGGTAAAGGTCTAATGATTAATATTTAAAAAATTTGATTATCTTATAAAAAAAATTAATATATTTTAATAATCCTCCCTTCTTCTATCAATGCTAAGAATAGACTAATTCTAATATTAAAATTAATGTTTTAGTGAGTAATTATATGTAACAAAAAGCAAACTTAACACTACTAGGTCATTGATCTTCTTCATTCCTATTTTTCAATAATAATTTCAAGTCATACACTCCCCATCTTCCCTCAATAAAAGTGACAAATTTTTATCAAACTTAATTCTATTTAAAAATAACCTAGCTTTAATATTTTTGTTGTAATTTAGAAACTATTTTTGTTCGTTTTAAATTGTAAATAAAAATATCATTTTTAATACTTATATAATAATATCCTAAATAAATAAAATATCTACTATTCTATTCTATTAGATGTTTAAATTTGTAATATTTTTCAAACTTAGTCACACAAATTCTAATATAAATAATTGGCATTTAATATTCCAATTAATTCAATTATAAGAATGCCTCTAAAGCTTAATAAATGCCTACGTACTTTCAGATATTTGTATCGTTATTTTATAAACGCATTTTAATTGGAAGGATGGGGTGGAGAGGGGGGGGGGGGGGTGGATAGGATTAAAATAAAAATTTATTATAGGAAATATCATGATATGTAAATAACCCCCATTCTTCTATTATTTTAATTCATCAATTAATAATATATTGTCGTATTAAGATATGGAATTCATTATTTTCCAGATTTTCTCCATTTTTGTTATTTACTAACAGCGATTTTTAAATTCATAAATCAAACTATTTTGTCTAGAACTGTTGACTCTTAATACATATATCCACTTTTTATATAGATTAGAAAAGCTTATGGGTAAAATTGTTGATATTTTTAACTTAGATATTCCACACATTAAAAATTCTTGGTCAAATCAGATCTTTAAATAAATAACCCTCAGTATGAATGTAAAATCGAGACATTCCGAATCCTCATGGATTCCACAGTGCTATATATTTTATTATCATAGAAAATTTATAATAAAATAAAGAGGGCTTATGTTTTTAACTAATGGGTATTCTGAATATTTTAAGACACCCCTAAGAGTTGAGTGAGAATTTTATTTAAAATCAATAAATGTATCTTTCACTAAGCAAATTTTGATTGTCCAATTGCTATTTATCGACTGTTTTAAAAAGGCATTTAATCTTCATAATGCAGTGGGGAATGTCGATAATATTTATTTTTGTGTTGATATTTTACCAAATTGAACATATCCTAGCAGGTTAGCTTAAATTTTTTTGTTATAATCTTTAGTCTTAAAACTATAAATTTGGTTTATGTTAGCTTACACTATAAATATATCTGGACCTACACATGTTGTCAGTGGAGCAACAAATGTCGCTCTTAGTTGTTCTATAATGTCATCTAAAAATGAAATTCCGATTTGGTATCATGATAATCGAAGATTAGATATCACTAGTAAATCTGGTTATCAGAGTTTTTCTGAACGGTCTGGGCAAATTATTAATAGTAAGTTAATAATTAATCGAGCAACTCTTGATAAAGCTGGGACATATAAATGCCAATCTGATACCAACAAAGTTTTGGTATTTCAAATAGTTGTATGTAAGTTCTTTTAATGATTTTCTTGATGTTGCAAAATATCTGCTCTATCTAAAAACCTAAACCCATTATGAAATCTTTTACTTTCAAAGCATGCATGGAGCTTTGTCATTTAACCTTTAACCTTCTTGCATGTTATATATCCATAGTTCTTGAATATTAATATTTCAAAATATATTTGTTTTTTTTAGTTGACTCACCAAATGAAATCATGATGCAATATAAGCCATCAAAATATGATGAATTTCAGGTTTTATAAAAATAATTTATTGTTTAGATATATTTTTATGTTTAATCTAGGAGGTCATTCTGCAGTGTAATGCTAACACCAGTATTCTTGGGAAAAATAATAGATTTACTTGGAAATTTGAAAATGGCACAGTTATCCAAAATGATACTCAATATAATATAGGTTCTAATACTCTCAAAATCATGCATCCAACTATAAAACATTGTGGAAATTATTTTTGTGTTAGCTCTGACATCCCAAATATTAGGAATCCGGTATCAATTAAAGGTAATTATTTTTTTGTATTATTTATGTCATTTTATATAATATGGAATAATAAAAATCTATATAAAATAAATATTTTTTAAAATTCATTTTGATCAGAATATTACCTATCTTTGGTTTTTATAAATAAAAAAAGAGACAAAACTTTAAAATTAAAATGATATGTCTTATCTTTATTTGTTGAAAGGTTTGTATTAATAAGTGTTTTATAAATACATATATTTTTTAATGATTTTACTTATGCAAATATATGGCCTAAGCTTCAAGATTTTGATAATATATGTCTAGACCTTTGTTCCTTCTATGAGCAAAATCTTCGGGATTGCATAATATTTTTTCTGGATGAAATATTGAGTTAGCCATTTTTAAAAAATTGTATCAAAAATAAGCTGTTTAACAACACTACTTTAAATATATATATGCTAGTACACTATATATTGATATTAAATTTTCTGTGCAACAAACTATGTATCTTTATTTTAATAAAAAAATATTAAAAAAACAAATTAACCCTTCAATAGTACAGTGGGGTCTATAGGATCCCAAGCAAGATAGACATGATCTTAAAATCTTCCGTAGCTTCATTAAATATATTTTGGATTATATATTCCGAATTTTATTTATTTTAGTCGGATCTGCAGATACCATTCATGGCCCGATCCTAAAATGGGCCAGCCCTGGCTTTATATTTTCAGGCATGGCCCAATGCGGATTTTATAAAAGAATTTTTTTTATATATTACATTTATTTTTGATGTTTATAGCTAATAATGATGATTAAAATATACAGCCTGTACCGGTTTTAAAAAAAAAATTCTTTTACTTGGCCTGGGAATATTTTAAAAAATCAAAATATGGCCCAGCCCATATAGATCTCTGATTTTAATTAACTATTTATTGAGATATAAAGATATCAAGGCTGATATCGGGAAATATTGGATCTGTGAAAAATTTGTGGATCGGCACAGCTCTAGTAAAATTATTATATTTATACCATATTTTCTGTACTTCGCCTTGAATTCTCACTAACTGTGAATTCAGGGTAACCAATCACCATAGGAGGATTACGTATTGGTACTTATTCCAGATTTACGCTGCCCCATAACTAACTAACCAACTTCATATGTATTAACCCCAGTCACAATTTTTTTTAGTTTATGAATTTTTATAAATTTTGATGAAAAAAATAAATAATAATAACACTCAAATCAAAACAAATATTCTTATAACTTTTAAGTACAATATGTCTTATTGGTGATACAGAATTTATGGGGTATTTGGAATCTCATTTTTAAAATTTATCTATAAAGGCTATTTTTTTAAAAAAAATTTTGGAACATCCGGTTTGTCCAGAAAACTATTTCTGTATGGAAAGAGTGTTCACTTAATTTATATTAATCTTTACAAATAGATTTTCAAAATAAATTTACGAAAAGACAAATATGTATTAAAACTTCATAGGGTAGATACTCTTACATGTGGCTGGAATACAATTCCGATCAGATCAGATGTTTCAACTAAAGATCTACAAATCACGGCCCGGCCCGAGCCTCCGGGTGTATCGTAAAAAAATAATTACGGGCCGGGCCGGGTCTAATATATTCAAATAAATCCGAGCCGGCGGACCAATAGTTTTTATTTCTGGTCCGGGCCGAGTTTGAAAAATTTTTCGATAAATGATTTAAGATTCTGAGATCGTAAATCCCTACGAATTCCGTTTTCCCGATATGACATAAGAATACATTCAAAAAATGAAATATAAAAGCGCCTCACGAATTACGTTCACTATTCGATTTAAACGAATACGAATAATGGAATTATTCGATTTAAACGAATACGAATAATGGAATTATTCGATTTATACGAATACGAATAATGGAATTATTCGATTTATACGAATACGAATAATGGAATTATTCGATTTATACGAATACGAATAATGGAATTATTCGATTTATACGAATACGAATAATGGAATTATTCGATTTATACGAATACGAATAATGGAATACGAATACGAATAATGGAATTATTCGATTTATACGAATACGAATAATGGAATTATTCGATTCGATTCGCTCTCATGAATAATCGTTCTTTCTTAAGAAATGTTAATACATTTTTAAACTGAATTCGAAATTTAATTTTATTTCAAGTGTTTATTTTTTAAAGGAAAACAATGTTCACATAATTTTTATTCAATTTTTTTTTTAAAAAATTTTAAATAATGACAAACAAGCTTAAAATTTCCATCGTTTGAGATAGCAGCATTGATATCGTGTTTAAAATGAAACGCGTCACGAATTTTTTTTTATATAAGTAGCCTACCTAACTCACAGAAATTTATGGAGAGAAAGATGACAAAAAAAGATTCATCGCGTGACATGTCAATCGTAAATCAATTATAATAACTATTTTTTAAACGATAGAACAAAAAGCCTTTCATTGGCATCGTTAATGTTTATTGATAGCGCCATCTATTATACCTTTTTTTATATATATATATTATTCAATTCAGCTGAAGTTTGATAGAAAATAAAAAAAAATTTGAAATATCGAAGCTCAATGATATATTCGGATAATATTAATGTTTAGTAATTCCCCCCCCCTAACTCCTCCCATAATTATAAATTATGATTTAGTTATTAATGTTAGATTTAAATATTCAAACTAAATATTAGCTTTTAGGGTTGTGTCGATCCGCATATTTTTCACCGATCCGATCGATATTTTTCGATATTGTTTCAAACCCTATCCAATCCGATATTTTTACTGATTTTTAATCACCCCCGTTTGAACCAAATGTAATTAGGAAATCAATATTTTTTATGCAAAAAATCGAATTATGAATAATTTAATTTTTTTTTATTTCTACAATTAGGACTATGATAAAAAAAAAATATATATTTAAAAATTGGAATTATAAAAATTGTAATATTTAATTGTATAAAATTATAATATATTAGATTTTTTTTTAATAAATATGAGAGCCTCTAGATTTTCTGGGTATAAGTTTCTACGATAGATTATCTACATCTCCTGCCGTACTGAAGGCAGACTCAGATGATTCCGCAGATAACGCATTTTGCAAAATTATCTTTGTCTTTCGTAAAATATTTCCATAATTCAGATACCATATTTAAAAAATTTGTATTTAAAATATAAATAAAAAAATTGGCGTTATTTAAAAAGAATTAAAATAAATAAAACTTTGGGTGTTCCTTTCTATTTTTATTATAAAAAAAAGCTTCTAAAATACTATAAATCTAAGAAAAGTAAAAAGATCGATCAGATCGGTTTTTTACAGGTATCGGCCCTATTCGATATTTTTGGAAAACGCTAAATATCGGTACCGATCCGATCCTATATTTAATATCGGCACAGCCCTATTAGCTTTTAATTCACAACTAATTATTTAACCCCAATAAAAGGTTTAAAAAAGCCGATTTTTTTTAACCTCTAAATTCCTATTAGCTCAGGCAATATAATTGTTAATGAGCCTAATTTTTTGTTTCGGTTATTACTAGAACATATTATTACGTGCTCACAAATTTTTGTCTAAATTGAAAGGGGCCTGCCAAAAATCTCGATTTTCCTGCTCGTTTTGACATGGAATCACCCCCGAAGGAAAATTCCTAAAATGGGGTATTAGTTTTTTTTAACAATGTATTATTCTTTAATCTAAACTAAAAAAAAAATGGACTCTTAAAATACAGTAATTGGACCGGAAACGATGGAATGTCCTTCCGCTTTACAGATGATATAGGGATCGTTTTTTTTAAAAAAAAATATTGAATAACGCCTTTCGGGGATGTTGCGTGACGAGTCTTTTATGGACGGCCACAATAAACGCCTTAAAATAACGTCATCCAGTCATCTAAAGTTTATTTCGGCCCATCGCCATACTGCTAAAATCATCTTTAAAGAAATGGCCATCTGACGGAATTAATCAATATTTCGGATTGCCAACAGCCACCCACGGGCTGGGATCTCATAAATTGAATGACTGATGGAATAAACGCTGTCATAAAATTTGAACAGCTGATGTGACCAAATATAAAAATTAATATTTATAGAAAACGCGATTTGTTCAAGCGGCGCAGTATTGAACGCCGCGTTATTTATGGATCTAGCCAATAAATGGGTATAATTTATAAATACCGGGCGAAACGAGGAAAACGCTCTATGTTAAAGGGTTTTTTTTGTAAATTATATTATCACGGTTCCCGTTATAAATCGCTAAAAATAATAAAAAAATTAAGTACCACTAGAAAAATAATAATTATTAACAAATAGTTATATCATACTTAATACAAATATATATCTAAGGGTGAAATTATGATAAATTTTAGTATATAATTACAAATTATATTATTTAAGCAAGCGTTTTACAAATTTAATAAATATTTTAAATGGCAATAAAAAATTTCACCAATAGTTATATTATATACTTAATACAAATACATATATATCTTACAAATTATATTATTAAACAGACACTATACAAATTTATTTAGAGGCAATTATTATCTAGAAATTATGAATAATCATGGATTTGCAGAATCCCTAATAGATTTTAATGAAAAATATACATATTTTCGGTAAATTTCTATATAAACATCTAAAAAAATTTCTATATAAACATCTAAAAAAATTTCTATATAAACATCTAAAAAAATTTCTTATATTTTATAGGAACCGACGTTTATCGATAGCCAAAAGGGCAAAGCATTGCTCTTTTTTTCAAAATTTTCTTTACCGTTCTAATGGCACATACAGGAATACAATTCACTACAGGTGTTTAAGAGCTGACTGTAAAGTAACACGTAAATATATAGGGATTCACAGTATCCAAAATGCGTGGACATGAAAAACATGCTATACTTTTTCGCAAATTAGAAAACTTTGCAAACAGCAGATATCGCTCCTCCTTCATAATCGGTTTATGCCATGTCTGGTAAAAACAGGATACCATTCAATGTCCCATATTCCACCATTATTTGA